TTTCAATCAAATAAAATAATGTTATTTGACGAAAAAGTTAAAATAAAAATCACGTTTCTGGCTGTAGAGGTATGAGGGCGGTGGGACGAGGGCTGCGAAATCTTTCAAATATATTATGTTTATATTAAAATTATAGTGTAATTACTCATATGCCATTTGGTTTAGGGGAACTTATTATTACTCGCGCAACTTTTCTAGAACGATGGATTGAAGAAATGCGGATAGATTGGGGGTATTAGTTACGAAATGGGCCACTAGATTTTATAAAGCAATGCTAATCTCTGGCAATGATAATGAGTCATGCCTTCGCAACGTTCTCAATAATTTGCGTTCTAACTTTCTCAGGTGTTCGAGGTATCTCCTGTAATAGATCTTTACCGGCTTTGATCATTTCTTTAGATTTTTGGAGAAAGTAATGGATAGTTCTCGTCTTCAAAACAAAATTGTTCCTATTTCGCGCCAGTGAAGATATGTTAGGAATATTGTCATTATTGCTTGCTGCGAGCTTTTGCCTTCATCTGTTCATTGTGCCAAAGAGGGGGAAGCAAGGTCATCGTCCAAGAAAAGTTGCGCGAGTAATACCATCTTATGCGGGGCGAGCCTTTCCCCTCCCTCCCCCGCCCACAAACAAGATTCGAAATCCCGCCTCTGGTTTTACGTCATCAAAATCTGCCTCCTAGTTATTACACTCAAATTTGATCTCTCAAAAAGAAAGAGTATTTCCAGTTTATTATAGACATAAATATAGATGTAAATAGAGGTAAAGGTGAGCCATTTAAGCCCACTTGGTATCTTTGCATACATAGCATACATTCTAGCAGGAACGATTTTAACAACTATTTTAATAATTCTTTTTGCCATCATAGCTCTGTGATTCAGTTGTAAATGAGAGCAGATGTGAAGCAGAAGTGTTCGTGTTTTCTCGGTTCTAGAAGCTTTGAAGATTAGTCTTTGGCTTTTAATTATAGTTTGAGTTTACTTAGACCGATTCTAATTCTTAATGAATGAAATACAATATGTTTGAAACGTTGTTTTATGCCTGCAATCTGTAATTTCGAACGTATAAAAGACTGGTTTTAGTTTGAAGAATTTTATTATGGCGATGGTTGTCAAATGATCCCTGAAATAAGGCTGGTACGTCTATGAGCCCGCAACTTTAACGAGCTCGTATTACATACACTACAACTTGTGTTCGTACTATTTTTGTTTTATGTGTTACGAAAGGTTCTAGGCCCAAAACAAAAAGGAACTAGTGGTGTCACAGAATGGCACAGACTTTCTCGTACTATTTAGTTTCCTAATGTCGGGGCTAGTTTTTCAGTCGTGCTCCATCCTCTTGCCAGCTGCCATCTATCACCGTCCAAACATCATTTTTCCCCATTTGCTCAATTTTCCGGTTTCCTAATCATAATCTCCGGCAGAACTGAAAAAATACTTTAAAAATATTATTGAAGAGTTAAACCTCATCCTACATGGAAACAGTTGTTGAAAAAGTTGGTGCATTTTTACGAAAATGGCGTTTAAGCGTTGCTGTAATTACATTTAAAGTTCTTTTTCACAGAAGACTATTCAGATTTCGAAACACTTTAGTGGAAGTCGTTTGAAGTACTGCTACTCACAAATGCAATAATGTATACAACTCGCCGGAAATATACATATTAACAGCGTGAGAGATATTTAAAAAAATACAATTGTGTAATTTTTGAAGAAACAAAAGAATACTGCAAAATGAGTTTTATGTCATCTTAAACAGTGCAAGAAGCATTATCCGTTCAAAAAGTTAGAAGAAAAAAATTGGAGCTGTTTTTGAGGAAATGGTGTTAGAGTGTTTCTGAAAATGCGGAAATTTGAGCTCATTATCACAGAAAACTGTCGGGTTTTCGAGAAACTTTAAATGACGGCATTTAAAGCACATGTGTTCATAAATGCCATATTATGAACAAATCGACTCTAATGTAAATGCCAGCAGCATAGCTCTAAACACACACGATGACCGAAACGTCAGCTCCATCGACTGAGACGCGGATCACCCCGGACAGTCATGACCCCGGCCGCGGAAGCCCATGAATATGAAATTTCAGACAAATTTTGAGAAAATTTTGAAAATGTCTCGAGAGCTTCATGAAGAGTAACCCCCAAAATTAAGTAATGTTTTTCAAAATCGCAGAGCTTCGACTGAGGTCAGATCGACTGGGTTTTATTCAGTTTGGAAAAAATCGTACGCATAGTTTAGGTGCTAGCGTTGTTCACATACTCCAGACGGACGGACGGTCGGACAGACAAACTGGTGTTTAAAAAATAACTTTTCGGTATCAGGGGATCCCAAAACGCGTATCATTCCGCCAGCTGGGTAACCATTTGTAATGTCTTTATGATTTTTCTAAATTAATTTCCCCTACTATGCTCGTAAATCAACTGCCCTAATTACCCATAGTTTCACTAGCTCTGTTTTTTATAAAGATCTTTTTATTAAGTTTGACGAACAACATACATCACCTTACCTGTTGCACATGGACGTGTGACTCTGTACAGAAATCACGATTCCTGGAACTTCTTTGGAATTTACTACTTACTGAATTGATGGCAATTTAATGAAATATCAGCCTGCTCTTTTCAAACAACAAATTACATTTATTGTAACATTCTAGTAACATGTCGCGAGCTCGTTGTTAATTCATGATTCTACGAAGTTTAAACATTATTCAACCTCACGGCTTTGATAAAGTTCGTAAGCATACGGAATGTCTTCTCGGTTGATATGATGTCGCCTTTGTCTCCAAAGGGGATGTCCTGGGTCCTCATATGGGGTTATTTATAAGCCTATTGTCCGTGTAAACTTTGAATGTTGCCCGATTGTTTCTAATTATACAATCCGCTATTCGGAAAATCCCTACATCTGCTCTAATATTATCGCGTCGCGAGTTTCCCTCAATAGATTTCGGGTGAAACCTCTATTCGCGACTACTATTTCCTCAAAATTAATAATTCCCACTTCGGAACTAACCTCATATAATAAACCCACGAACACCAAGTGTAAATATTTTTAAATGCAAAATTCATATACGACAACAAATGTAACTATTATTAAAACAATGCAAACATTTACCCACTGAAAACTCAAATAAACAATACTGCTTAGCCTACACTATTTAGGATTAACCAAACGAATATTTACCCATAACAAATCTATAATCGCAAAATTACAATTTCATAATGTTCATACCATGTGAACTGCTTGGCCGCTTCGGTGAGAGTGAGAATTCGCTTCTTTTTGCTAAAAAAATGTTTGCTATGTCTTCCCCTCATTAATTCCATGTTAATAACACCGGGCAGTGTCGTATCTCGACAATACAATTCTCGTCTAGCATCCAGCATGGGGCCTAAATGTTTATAGTTCGTTGCTATGCTACGTGTGTTCCTTGGATTTTTAACATTTTAGATGCATCCCTTACGTTGTATTACACTCGTGTAATATTCTGGTATGCGGCAGTGGTCTCTGCGGTATGCGGCAGTGGTCTCTGGAAGCAATAGATTGCTTCTCTGGGAAGCACTTGCGGCAGGTGCAGCTATAAGTGGAGATGGATGGGTGCTGCTATGTTCGGCTGTAGTATATTCGGGGTTATCCCCGATCAGGGCCCGCCTGTTCAGCTCCTTATTACCACCGGCTCGCATGCTGTCACCTCCAGCGGTGGCTCCGAAGGTGCCCCGGCGCTCCCCAGGCAGCGGCTGCTATTCCGAGGCCTTACGACGCATATTCCGTGTCTCCATATCTATACAGGTGTGCCATCGCCCTGTTTGTCGCCAAATTTTCTGACGTTGTCCGTCTCCCACGTGGCTAAGTTCTCAATTGCTCGGACGTAGGGCTGGACTTTGGGAGACTTTATTATTATTATTATTATTATTATTATTATTATTATTATTATTATTATTATTATTATTATTATTGTTGTTGTTGTTGTTAATTTTTAGTCTTCATAAGAAGTCGAAGTTAACACGTCGACGTGCTTCAATCTCTTGATGTTGATGCAACCTCCTCGGTAATGAATAACTGTTTAGAAATTTTAAATCATTTCGGTACCAATTGTTCTAAATATTTTTCTACTATTGACGAGGACTCCTAATCTCCAAGTTCTTTCAATGAGAGCAGTCGCCACCGTTTGCGACTAGCATTGTAGCCGATGATCTTTGTAAACAATGCCCTGTTTAGAGCTCAATAGTGTTTTTTTTTT